TGTATTTTGAGTTGTGTTTTTGTCTGGCTGTGGCTGTGGCTATGGCTCAATATGCCAGCGAGCCAGACAGAGTGCGAGCGAGAGAGAGAGAGAGAGGGAGAAAGATAGAGAGAGAGTGTGTGTGGGAGTGTGTGGCATGTATAAGTAGTGCAGCTTCGAGGTCCTTTTTTGCCGTTTGATGAATGCGAAGCAAATGTTTGCTAAGCTTTTCATAATGTGACTCTAAGTTGTGGCCAAAACAATACGAATAGAAATTCTCGTCTGCATATCGATCCAGCTGTGAAGACGAACTTTTTAAATTAACTGACAAAAGAGAACTGAAAGTGAGAAGAGAGAGTAAATTATTGCTGCTGAAGGATTGATTAGTTGATGAATAGAGATGAGCCTTTCAGACATTAGTTTGGGCTTGGGTTACATAGAGATACATATTTGATTAAAACTAACTGAACTATATAGACTATATATAGAATATACTTCACTGTGATCTTTATATACCCTGCAATCCATTGAAAATGACAGCTCAGGGTATAATGCGCTTATTCAAATATATGTAACGGGTATAAAGAGATGTGACTGAACATATGAGGACCATATAGATATATATATATATATATATATATATATATATATATATATATATATATATATATATATATATATATGTATATAGCTTCTAAGGTTAGAGACTTTAAATATTGAATACAAATATGTTTCTCTGTCCTATGCTGAACAAGTTCACATATTTATTTGTTATCGATAAGAATCGATATATTAATTTTCCTATTCAACACCTTTTCTGCTACATATGTAGCCTTCAATGATTCAAATAGCAGTTGCTTGGATGGTTCAGGGTGTTTTCTAGCCGAGTTTGCCCGACTGTATAATATCTTCCATTGAACTACAACTAACTCCAAGCTTGTCAATTTCCCCCACACCCTGCTCCTCCATTAAGTCTCAGTATTTTCTTGATGCTTTCCATATAGAACACTCCTCAGTCTTTGGAGCACTTCAGCAGCCCTCTTAAATACCTTCGAAAAATGTAGCTCTGCAGCTTTAAAGTTAATTTCAATCGAAGCTACCTTTATCTGTCCCAGGTACCTCCCCCTCCTGCTCCCTCTTTCTGTATCTTATAGTAAATTAATTGTTAGAAAAACGAAAACAACCCGCGGCTCTAAAAACATTTGTAGCCAAAAAATACTGACAGGCGCTTTAACCACAACTCATAAACATTTCCACAATTTGTTGCTCTGCAAATTGTTGCTGTTGGCTCGAATATAGATTTTATTTCAACTTTTTCGGCTTGTGCAATTGTAATTTGGCCCCTTTAATCGTTCGATTGGGCCAGGGACGGGGGCTGTTCACAAATGCCATTCAAATATGAAGTTGTTGCTGTTGCTGCCACAATGTTGCTGCTGCAATGGGTGGCATCTAAATTTAACAACAACAACGGCAACAACAGCGGCAAAAGTTGCTCGCAAAACAAATGTTTTTGACGCATTTTTCGCTTACAGTGGCGGGCGCTCGCTTGTGGGAGGTGCGGGTTGCGGAAGGCGTGGCTGGCGCCAAGCATTTGCAGTTTTTATGACGCAGCAACGCCGCGACGGCGCGTCCACATCGACATCAGCGTCTGATGCGTCCATCACCGCAAAGGTGTCAGAAAATGCAGCAAAAATTTGCAGCCATTTGACAGACGAAACGGAATGAAATGCATATAGAAGGGAACGGAATGGCAGTGGAATGGGCTGGGAGCGATGTCTGTGGGGCGAGTGGAACAGCGTGTGATAAAATCGTGTGTCAATTCGATTTTTGACGTTAACCGCCGCCTAAACAACAGCAGCAACAACAGGAACAACAACAGCAACGACTTTTTTTATTACCTAGAAATGGAATTGGAATTGGAATTGGAATTGGAATTGGGTGCTGTTGCTGCCACGGTTTGTTGCAATAGCAACGGACGCGCTACATGACATCTGTGGCAGTGAATTGGCAGCTCCAGCAGCAGCAGCAGCAGCAGCAGCACCAACCTGCAACAGCCGAAGACTCGTTGAGGCCGACGATGTGGGCGAGCAGAAGTAAATGTTAACCGGTTCGTTTGGTCATCAGCTCAGGGTGACAACCCTGAGCGACAGCCCTGGCTGGTAAGAGGTAAGTGTGAAGACAAAGTGCCAAGCAATTCAATTAGATACACTGTGCAAAAAGGAGAGCAAGTGTTGTCAGTCTTAAATAAAAATGCATTTCGTGTTTCAATGCCATTTTGTTTCATTTTTTAAATATTTATATTAAGTGTTTTTTAATATTTCAAAATAGAAAACATGATGTTAATAGTTATTGGTGCTTCAATTCCATTTTGTTCCACATATTTTAATCATATATCATAAACATCACATATCATAAACATCAATAAATGTGAAATGTACACTATATACCATAAATATATAAGTATATGAATATTGTTCCATTTCCATTTTAGTAACAGACACGCCCGCATTACATGTTCAGCTTTTCTGTTAAAGAATTTTGGAAACTGTGGAATGACACAAAAAATTATTTTCATATTTTAATTAATATCCAATTATGTTATTGCTCTTGAAGATGCCATGAATCACCATTAGGAACTCTGTGAAGCTCTACAAAGTATAATTTTTGATAACTTCACAGATTTCCCATGTTCAGATATCCCCTCTCCCCTTATGGAATATAATAAAAAATTTTCTGCATTGTGCGAGTGAAATCATGTTGCAATGCTTGCCGCGAGATGGGCGGGCTGTGGGGTAGGCATGGCAACATACCGTTATGTCACATTTCTAGCCCACAGATGGAAAAAAACAAATAGCGAATCCAACTTTTGACGTGTGACAGCGGTTGGCGTTGCATTTTGGCCGCAATTGTCAGGTGCCGCGATATTCGAGGACCTGTCAATCCGATTTCAGATATTTGAACGCATAATACCGGAGACAAGGGGAGCCACAACTCATTTTTTTCTTCTTCTATGAATGCAACAGCTTTAACATAAGCTTCAAACAAAGAGTTGAAATTCCAGTTCGGGAGTTTATATAGAAAAAATGCCATTGAGTCAGTTCTATTGGATCTGACTTCAAATACCACTCAAATGTAAATTAATGATCCTAAAAGCTAACATAACCTCACAAAAAAGACAAATGTAGGAGCTACACTGCGTATGCTTAATATATAAGCAAACGCTGCTCAATACAGCTAGCGCCGCCTGGAAAGCAAATAGTTAAGAACAGTTAACTGGAAAACGCACAAAGAACTTTTGGCGCCTTAGAAACGCTGAGCAAGGAACACGAACTCATAAAGATGCGTAATGGCTGGCTGCGCACAAATATCGGAAAATAATTATAGACAGGCGTAAAAGATGAAAAAGCTTGGTGAACATAAGCCGGAATGATCGGAATAGAAACATGAATTGCTTACAAATATTGGACACAAATTGCAATTCAAGTCTCACTTGCACTAGAGAGAAAAGGCTAAGCAAATTAACACGTGCTGCCTGCTCCGTACCCATTCCACTGTTCCTTTGCGGACGCAGCGCATTCAACAATTGGGCTGCTGCCGCAGCGCGCTGTAGTCGGGGGAAGTGACGCGTCTGGAGAGTCTGGATAAACGGCTTGATTTAGCATTCAGAGAAAAAAATCAGGAATGAAAAGGGATTAAGAGTTAGCCACACGCAACTCTTCAAATTTGTGCTTTGATGCAGCGCAGCAGCCGCTGCGGCAGCAGCATTTGTTTCCTCTGCCTTCCTTGCTGCGTCGCTTCATTTTCAATTTCAATAAATAACCTTGATTTAAGCGACGCTGACGTCGACAGCGACGCCAACGCACTGACTGGCAGCACCCACCCCCACAGTCGTTTGACCAGCTGCAATACAAATACAAATGCAAAGAGAGCAAGAGCGAGTGAGTGTGTGAGAGAGAGAGAGAGCGCCACGGCGGGACAGACCGGCCCCCACACACAAACACCTGTCACACTGCACATTGTCGCACTGCACAGCTCTGCTTGCTCTCCGTCTCTCGTTCACTGTGGGGCTCTCTCAGTTGCGTTCTCTCACGGCCATTGCAGTTGCTGTTTCGCCAGCCATTCGTTTCAATTTCAATTCAAGCGTTTCACTTCAAGCTTTCTCCTCATTCCAAGCCAAAGTAGTTAAGCGACGGCTATAAATCAAAACAAAACTGCAGCCGCTGCCAGCTGGCGACGACGCCGCATGCGCAGACTTCACTCAGTCAGTAGCCGCAGCAGCAGCGTCGGCAGCAGTCAGCAGTCAGCGGCAGCATCGTCGCTCTCTGAGCACGTTACGCTCTCTTTCTGTCTGCTGCCGGCATATATCAATTTAATGGGGAAAACGTCGTCGGCTCTCTCTCGCTTATGCACGCCACAATTCATTTTGATAGCCTTCGCGCGCGTGTTTCTTTCGCTCTCGCTGCGACGTCGCCAGTGCTGCTGCGGCGCTGCTATTGCCGTTGCTGTCAGCTCTCAACGTTGTCAGTGTCAAAAAGATGTTTTAGTCGACAACGGCAGCGCTGAACGAAATCATGTCGCATATTTTCATTGTTGAATTTTTCGCTAGAAATTCAACAGTGACAACCGCAGCAGCAGCAGCGCAGTAACGTTAATGTCAAATGCAGCGACGTCGCTGTCGACAGCGGTTACAAATACAATTGCAGTGCGTGCGCGTGTCAATCAGTCGACGTTAATAAGTCGCCTGGCCCGGTTAACGGTAAACATTACAGCCGTTTCAGAGGCCTTACAGTTAAACCGATTTAATTTTGTGCGAGTCGCGCGCGTTTTTCTAGTCGCCAAAAAAAACAAAAATCCGCAACAGCAGAGAAAGAAGAAGCACCAGCAGCAGCCGCAAAGAATAATAATAAATTCTGTGGCAAGCGTCAGTAAATCATTAAATTAATAGCCCCACATACACGCACACGCACACACATACACATACGCATACGCAGCGGCACAGCTGTTGAGCGTATTTGTGTGTGTGTTGTTGGCATTTGCCAGTAGAAGGAAGTGGAAGAGGAAGAGAGAAAGCGCTGCCTTCTGCTAGTGCCTTGGAAATTGGCGGCAGTTGACCGCAGCGACGAAGACGACGTCGCATGCATCACACACACAGGCGCACACACACACGCATACAGTCGCACGTATTGAGTAAGCGAGAGTTCGTCATCAGGCAAAAGGAGGCGGGGAGGCGCCGTGTTCCGTCCCGTTGGCCCATTGTGACATTTGATTTATTTGACGTGTGTGTTTTTGATAGAAGCTCAACACGAAACTGACACGTTCACACACACACGCACGCATAGTCGGGCGCGTTCACACAGACACACACATACATACATTCATATAAAGAGCAGCAGACGCAGCGTCGACGGCGCCGCTCTCAAGAATTTCGAACGTGAAACGAAAATAAAATGAAATACATTTAATTTGCGTGTTTGTGTTTGCATTTGTATTCGAACTTGTGTATTTGGTTTAGTTAAGTGCGTTCGCGTTCGCGTTCGCCTCACACTGTGCCCAACAACACCAACAACAATTCGCCAATCGATGTGCGAAATTAATAACGGTATTTAGCAGCAGAGACAAGCGAAATAGAGACACAAAAAACTATTGACAAAATGATGCTACACGAGGCTGTGATGCTGGAGATCTATCGCCAGGCGCTGAGTGCAAGGTGAATATTGTATTTTTAACCGTTAGCCAGTGTTGCCAGTGTTGAAAACCATTTGAGAAACAAATTTGAAGTTCTTATTAGAAGTGAAACTTAACTGCGAATTGTTTTAGTTTTTGACTAATGTTTATAGCTAGGTGTAAATGTTGAATTATAATAAAATAAATTAAATTATATTATATATTAATTTAAAAAGTGTTTAAATGAACTTTTAAAAATAGATCTTGAACTCAGATAATGTTTGCTGTGTTTGAGACACTTTGTTCGACTAATTTATAAGTACATAAATATAAAAATATAATATATGTATGCCTGTATATATATATATATTCTGACATACTTTTCTTATCACTTCCTTAAGGAATTTACCTTATAAAAAAATGTTTTTTTTGGCATTTGTCCAAATTAGTTGAGATCACTGCGAATTATAGTTGAAATATTTGAAACTAAATAGAATATAAATTATATTTTAGCAATTTATTAATTAGTTTATATAAGCATAAATATATTTATATTATATACTGATTTTTGGTGCTGATAAAAAAAGTTATTATATATAGATTTTTTAATGAATAGCAACTTAAAGAAATAACATATATTTTATTACTTTTATTTATTAAATTTACAATTTAAAGATTTAATTTGCAACTTAGGATTGTATGTATTAGAAGTTATTTTGTTTTATTATATTTAAATTAAATTTTAAGAGCTATAAAATTATTTATACAAATTATTAAAGAATCAAACATAAAAGTCGCTAAAGTCTTTGGTCTTTGATGTTTGAATTTAAGAAAATAATTTGAATTATTTAGGCATTACACAATACTAATATATTAATACCATATACATTAATTTAATATGAAAAGGTCAGTAGTAAAAGAAAATATATTTATTTAAGAAAAAGTCTCAGCATTTGCTTAGTTTATTCATTTTCCTCATTTGATCTCAAAATTAGTTCGATTTGAAGTGTGAAGATCTAAAAAGATCGACCCAATTAGCTCACTAAAGTCAAGCTTAAAATATATATTAGATTATATATAAATATATATATTATATATAGGATTATAGTTAGCAAATTGGACAGAGCAAATATAATATAATAATAATATAATAGAATAAATAAAATAAATACATAAAAATATGGATATTCCTTAAGCCTGATAGAATACTTGAGATATATAAATATTTTTAAACTATGTCTGGAATTACTGTATCTAAATACTATATATACTATATAAACAGTCTGAATTGTGGTATCTAGAGTATCGTTAATAATTTCTGGCACTGAAAAGGAAATATTTCCCTAAATCCCACTTCAAGTTAGTCAAAGCTAAGATCAGAGAAAGATCAAAGGGAATTCGAAATTCCGAAAGTTAAAGAATTCGAAATCGAATTTGCCGTACTGCAGAGTCGCTCTATTCGAGTGATCACTGTACTTGAATGCTTCTCCTCGACTCCATGCCCTAACTAACACTTCCAAATGAAATCTCTTGCAGTGAGCTGGCGAGTCCGAGGTGCCAGTCGCGGGAATCGAATGCCTCCGCGGCGGCCGGCGATGCCCGCTGCCCGTCGAACGAGTCGCACTGCTCGGCCAATGACTGCTTGACTCCGGCGCCGACGCCCACGCCCACAGCTGCCTCGCCCGTGGGCTTGCCGCTGGCCGCGACGCTGGCGCCCTCGGCGGCGGCTGCGCTGCTGCCGCCGCAGTCGGCTGCGATGGCTGCCTACCTGGCAGCGGCGCAGCAGAATCACCTGCTGCTGACCAATCCGCTGGCAGCGGCCGCCTCGCTGGTGCAGCAGGCCACGCAGCAGGCTGCCTCGCCGCAGGCGCACAGGCACGAGCAGGAGGAGGCACCCGCCTTGGACTTCAGCAGGAAGCGCACGCCCAGCGACAGCGAAGCAGCGGCCAGCGATGAGGAGCCGGAGGCCGAGCCGGAACAGGAGCAGACCGAGCAGGAGTCTGCGCCCTTGGATCTCTCCGTGAGCACGCGCAAGCGCCAGACGCCAGGCCTGGAGCAGGACACGCCTGCGCGCAAGCTGCCACGCAGCACAGACTACAAATCTCCCCTGCCACCTGGCAGCTGGGTGCCGCCCATAAATCCCTACCTGGCTGCCGTGGCGGCCAAGTCCGGGCTGGGCGGCAAGCTGGCGCCTAACGAGGCTAGCAAGGCGCTGGAGAAGATGAGCGAGATGAGCCGCCTGGAGACGCCGCCGCCCAGCGGCAGAGCGGCAGGCGCTGCAGCAGGAGCGGGTGGCAGTGCAGCAACTGGAGCTGCAGCTGGAGCTGCAGGCGGGGGCGGACGGCACAGCGCCTGGCAATCGCACTGGCTGAACAAAGGCGCCGACGCAGCCAAAGACGTCTTCAAGTGCGTCTGGTGCAAGCAGAGCTTTGCGACGCTGGCGCTGCTCACCACCCACATGAAGGAGACGCAGCACTGCGGCGTCCAGGTGCCCTCGCCGTCAGCGCTCGCCGGGCAGGCGACGACGACGCGCTCGGCCAATGCAACGTCCACCAGCAACTCGAACTGCTCGAGCAGCAGCAGCTCCAACTCGTCCAGCTCCTCCAAGTCCGAGCTGAACATGCTCATCAAGGAGACGATGCCGCTGCCCCGCAAGCTGGTGCGTGGCCAGGACGTCTGGCTGGGCAAGGGCGCCGAGCAGACGCGCCAGATACTCAAGTGCATGTGGTGCGGGCAGAGCTTCCGCTCGCTCGCCGAGATGACCAGCCACATGCAGGAGACGCAGCACTACACCAACATCATATCGCAGGAGCAGATCATCTCCTGGAAGTCCGGCGACGAGCGGCCCTCGAACGGCGGCCAGGGCGCGGCCTCCTCCAGCAGTGCCACGCCCACGGCGCCCAGTGTCAGCGCCGTGCTGACGTGCAAGGTGTGCGACCAGGCGTTCGCCACGCTCAAGGAGCTCAGCACGCACATGGCGCAGCAGTCGCACTACAAGGACGCCGGCTCCAGCTGCTCCTCCTCGGTGTCGCCGCCGGCGCCGCCAGCGTCGGCCGGCTCCGCGGGACTCGGCTCCAAGCGCGGGCGGCAGACGCGCAACGAGAAGCGCAAGAAGTCGCTGCCCGTGCGCAAGTTGCTCGAGCTGGAGCGCTCGGGCAGCGGCTCCGGCTCCGGCTCCAGCTTGGACTCGGCCCTGAAGCCGCTGCGCGACTTTGCCGCCGCCACGAAGATCACCTGCGAGAAGTGTGGCAGCAAGATCGAGACGGCTCTGTTCGTGGAACACATACGCAAGTGCCTCGGCGACAGCATACCCATTCCGCCCAGGCGCCCGCCGGCCCAGGACCAGCCGCAGCAGCGTCTGTCCAGCCCCAGCATGGCGCTGCACTCGGAGAAGCCGGGCGGCAGCTCGGGTGCGCCCTCCGTGCTCAATGCGCTGGAGCAGCTCATCGAGAAGAGCTTCGAGTCGCGCCTGGGCCGCCTGGCGCCCGGCTACCCGGAGTCGGGCACCCCTTTGGGCGCCAGCATCTTGAAGCGTCTGGGCATCGACGACAGCAGCGACTACACGAAGCCCTTGATGGATGCGCAGGCCATGCAGATGCAGCTGCTGCGCTCCTCCTATCCGGTGCGGGATCGCAGCGCCAGCGAGTCGAGCTCGGCCAGCCGCGTGGAGTCCGCCTATACGCCGGATCGGCAGCAGGCCACGCCACGCCGCACGCCCGACACGCCGGCCTCAACGGCAATAGCGACGCCCTCGCTGCCACCACCAGCCTCCAGCTGCAGCAGCAGCACCACCACCACCATCATCAAGTCGGAGCCCGTCGAGCCGGAGTCCGGCGAAGCTGAGCCCAGCAGCAGGCATCTGATCCATGTGAAGAAGGAGTTCAGCATAGATCAGGCCACAGGCAATCCTCGCGAGAGTCCAGGCGCCAGCAGCGAACGCTCCAACACCTCGCCACCCGCCGCGCCCGTTCAGAGCTCCTTGTTGCCGGAGAGCGGCAGCCTCTTGGCTCTCAACTCCATGTTCGACCAGCTGAGCAGCGTCGAGACCAACAATAACAACACAGGTAAATGGCAGACAGGTGGTAGACACTGGGGGCTTGATTGATTGCGTGAAGAGTTTTCATAGAGGTCTCATAGGAGATGGCGTGATTGGGTTTCCGGCTTATACTTGTACAACAATCTCGTATTGTCTAATTAGATTCTAATTGAACAGCTGTTAATATGAAATTGAAGTTCTTGCTACTCTACTTTCTCTCTCGTATACCAATCGGTTCTGTTAAATTCCATCTCTACATCTCTCTTCCTGCTTTTCTAACTTGAATTCGAATTAGATTATAATTGGGTACTTTTAGATGTGAAATTGAAAGCTCTGCAAGCTCTTGTTACTCTGCACACATTCTGTCCCTCTCTCTCTCCCTTGCCTCTCGCAATCTGACTCCTCTCCCTCTGCATATTCCACACTTCATACTTATTCATCTATTCATTTATACATTTTCCGTCTTGCAGGACATTGCTTCAACAACAACAATAGCAGCAACAACAACAACAACAGCAATAACAATGGAAATGGCAACGCAAAGAAGCCAAAAGCTCATCCCTTGGCCGCACTGCAAAAGCTGTGCGAGACAACGGATCCGCCAGCCTCGAATACGCGCAGCTCCTCGACGTCGGGCAGCGCAGCTGCGGGCCTGGGCAATGGCAGCGACTTGGTTGCCTTCAGCTGGGCCTGCAACGAGGCGGTGTTGAGCGCGGGCGCCGGAGTTGATTCGATCATCAAGTGCTCCTTCTGTGATACGCCATTCGGGTCGAAAGGCGCCTATCGGCATCACCTGTCCAAGGTGCACTTCGTAAAGGACACTGGCGAGGAGACGCCGCCGCTGAAGTCGCCCGCAGCTGCGCAGTCGCCGAAGTCGCTGCCTCTGGCATCGCCCAAGCGCTCGGCGTCGCGCAGTCCGGCAACGCCGGCCCAGCAGCTGCCGCAGTCGTCCCCGTCGCCATACGATGAGAGTCCGCAGTCCAAGTTCCTCAAATACACGGAGCTGGCCAAGCAGTTGTCCTCGAAAAATGCCTAAAGCGCGGCAGGAGCAAGAGATTTGCACAGTGCAACAAATTTTAATATCAACTCAATTTGCAATTGTGTTATATGTTGTAAGCGCTTTAACTCTTTTTGATGAGCTCTGCATTGATTTCTGATCAAAGAGAGAGCAGTGTGTCTGCAGACATACTCTCTCGCTCTCTCTGAATCGTTCGCTCTCTGCAGCCACATTTCCCCTCCTTTGCTGAATTGACGGTAAATATTTCCCCAAGCTGCGTTTGCCCCATGCTGGCTGTCTGGGGAAATCTCTGTGTGTGTGTGACGTCACATCGCTGACGTCTCTGCTTCGTTTTTATTGTTTGCCAATTCGCAAGCATGCCATCACATTCGCACGCGCGAGAGCCGTCCGAAATTCAATTACCACCACTTTGACGAACTGCTGTCCATCAAAAAGTACTTACACACACACATATATACACCCAGAAACAGAGGCACTTACACAGATTAACAGTGCAGTGCAATTGCAGGCGTGCTAAAGAGTGAGACGGCTGTAGTGTGCGCAGCTATTTGACGAAAGGCGACGACAACAGTTCGTCAAAATGAAAAAGAAAAACAAACACACACAAAAACAAAATACAAAGCAAAAACAAGCTGACCCATGCGATTGGATGGTGCCGTACAGCACTAAAAACAACAATAGCAAACACTCAAATGGGTGGGGGTACAATTGAGTGCAAACGAAACAGGTCCGAGCGCACAATTGAGCGCAGCAGACAGATAGAAAGAGACAGAGAGAGAGAGAGCGAGTGAGCGAGCGAGATTTATTGAGTGAAATATAAGATTTTGACTCAATGAAAATGCAAAAAGCGTGCCAAAAAATGGAAAACGAAAGAAAACTTAAATTAGCTTAATAATAATTAAGAAGAATACAAAAATGCAACGCAGTATACGTAAAAATTTTGAAAAAACCCAAAAAATTTATAAAAATTAAAAATTTAAATTAAATTTTAAATATAATTTCGTTCCTTTGAAAATGAAAATCAATGTATACCAAGCCAAGAGGCAATACTTATATAGAACTATGTAAATACTAGCAATTTAGCAATTTCCTTCCAGATAAATTAGATATCTAGACATATATATAGACATATATATAGATATATATAAATATATATATATTAAATATGTTTAATTAATAACAATTAAAGTCAAATCAAAATGTAATCACGGCAACCCAAGTATACGCATTAATTATACTATTTGAAATATATACAAATATAAATACTACTAAATATATATATATATATAAAAAAGTTTACAAACTCAAAATCTCAACTATATATATATATCCTAAGTTTAAGCCTAAGAAAAACTAACTTAAAAACTTAAAAAATAATTTAAAAATGTCAAACATTTCATCAGCCATCAGAAATCAGAAGAAGAAGAAGCACATCATTAGCAATTATTTTATTTATATATATTACATATATGTTATATATAAATACAACTTAAATTTGAGTTTTTTGTGATATTATTTTTAAAAATAAAAAATCTCCTTTTGCTTCCTTTTTCGCCTAGCTACTAAGTAAGTTAAACAAAATGCAATAAAATGAAGAGAAGAAAAAACAAAAACAAAAAACTCAAATCCCAATCAGAGTCCAGTTGCTAACACATCCAATCAGAAATCGTTTATGTATTTCCAAATTGAAATCCTTTAACGAAGAGAGAGAGAGAAAGAGAGAGCGAACAGCATCGTAATACAAAATGAATTCAATAAAAAGAAACAAAAAATAAAAATAAAAGTAAAAATTAAAAATAAAAAGTTGTGTTTCAAATTGAGAAAAAATTTATATAAAACTCTTAATATTATTTTGGGTCTTGTCCTTTAAATTTATGAATAATTTATATAAAAAATTAATGCAAAATAATATAATAATAAATGTGTATTTACAAATTTATTAAATATTTTGCATTAATTTTTAATATAAATTATTCATCAATTTAAAGGACATTTTTGTGACTAGATTTTTAGAGTTGATTGGAATATTGAATTGGAACAATCGGAATGAAATAGCGACGTAAGGCTACTTTTAGCAATGGAACAACTGGAATGAAATATAGAAGTAATATATTATTTATATAAGTGTTCCATGCCAATATCCCAACTGAAAGGAACTATGAAGTAGAACATGTTGGAATGGAATATCTCAATAACTGTTCCGTTCCATAAAATTAACTGTGAAGTGGTAACAAGCAATGAGGAAACGTTTGGAATGAGTGTTTCATTTCAATATAAGCGAAGAACTGGCTTCTGTTTCTTAAAGACAATGAAATGAAACAACTCATTGGCAGGCAACAACGCAGAAACAACTGGAATGGAATATCTGCTTATAGTGGTACAGTGGACAATCGTTAAGAGTGGAATTAAACATGAAATAGACTTATCAAAAAATATAGATCTAGTTTTCTTCATTAATTATAATTAATAATAAAACTATAGAAAATTAATTAATTAAATTAAAATAAATTAAAGTTTTTATTTCTTCTTTTCTCATAGCACTTCATCTGACCCCAACTCTATATCTTATATAGAATACTTCACTGCAGAGGTACTGCGCCTCAGAGAGGCGGGCTTAGACTCAGCCCTCCCCCTCCCTGCCACGCCCTCATCCACCCTGACCAAATCGCAGTTAATTGTGGATCTCAGAACATGGCATATCAAATTGTAAACTAATATTTGCTAATAAACACGCCGAGTTAATTAAACCTGAATTATGTGGCGCATGGCTGTGTAACTGAGGTGGTCGCAGCGAGGGAGGAGGCACCTGAGGCAGCGGCAGAGGCGGGGCGGGCTGCAGCGACGCGTGGCAGGAACAGGAACATGCGCAAAATGTGAACGCGATTCGCTGATTTATGGGCAACAAAGGATTAAGATGCGACAGCAACAACAAGCGGCGCAGATACGAACTTCATAGATGCCACACACACACACACACACGCACACACACTACTTGATGTGTGTGTGTGTGTGTGTCTCGTATCTATTGCGACGCTGATGACGATCCAAAATGCCAACGAAAACTTCAATTGCCAAAGGATTCATTTTCACTTAAAATTTATGATGTGTTCCACACACACACACACACACACACACGCAGCTCGCCTGAGGCGTAGGCGTGGGCGTGGCACTTGGTGTCACATTTGTGTTAAGAGATAATTTTTGGGCCAAAATGTTTCACAAAACTTTTGGCCACCTCTGCCTCGGCAGTGTTTCGTTGTTTCAGCCACATTGATGGCTGCACCCACCCACTCAAACCACCCAGCCACCCAGCCAACCACCCACTCAGCCACCTCAACCCTAGCACCTGGCCTGCTGCCACAGCCTTCGCTCCGTTTAATGAGATACAAACACATAAATTCTAAAAAGTGTCATGCATCGCAAATAACGGTTCACTGTGTGCTCGCCGCTCTTCTTCTTGCCACCTTGATAAGCTCTGTGTGTGTGTGTGTGTGTCTGTGTGTGTGACAAAAGACGCTCGCGGCGTTGAAAGCAAAATATCAAAATTTTGTCTAAAAAAGCGAAGCAAACTGCATTTGTTGCTCGCTTTGTGCGCATCAAGCACAGTGCTGGGCATAATTATATGTACACTTAATGATCTAACATTTATGAGAGAATAGACATAATATTGATATCTATAATAGATAAATAATATTAATTGTTATTGACTAGAGGGAGGGACACTTAATGTCAGTTTGAACTGCTTCATTTAGAGCTTGGATTCTGATAGGAAATGAGTATATATATATATATGTATATATTATTGTGGAGTTGATTAAAGACTCAAGACTAAACGTATGAATCTAAAGTAGCTAACAAGATATTGTAGCTGATCTACCTGACAGCAAAAGGATCTTTCACGTTGCAAAGCTCGTGCTGGCCTGATCATGCAGTTTTTATAAAGCATATACTCTCTGATCTACTGGACTCTATATCTATATCTATATCTATATCTATATCTATATCTATATCTATATCTATATCTATATCTATATCTATATCTATATCTATATCTATATATATATATATCTATATCTATATCTATATCTATATCTATATATTTATCTATATCTATTTCTATATCTATATCCATATTTATATAATTCTTATTAGAAGACACAAGTCCGATTAGACCAATTAGTTAAGTAAACTCTTTAATTTCTAGACGTTAATATGCAATTCTCTACAAGAAACGCAAACAGAAATCGTTAAGAAATGTTGTCAAACTAAAAAAGAGAGATAGAGGGAGAGTAAGAGAGAGAGAGAGGGAGGGCGTTATTAGATAGAGACAGAGAAAAAAAATGAATTGCTTGAGATAAATGTACATAAGTATATTTTAGTAATTCGTAGCAAAAAACATACGCAGACAGCTGAGAGCAACGCCTTCCATTAGCCACCACCGGAGAGGACTAATGAGACTAACACGCAGACGGGAGGGCGGTGCGAGGCGGGAGGCGTGGCAGTAGGAGAAGCGCCTGCAGTGCGAACAGCAAAACTTTTGCAAAGTGTCAGAAAATGTGAATGCGATTGTGGAGCGACCAAGAGGAGGAGGCGGAGGAGGGGGGCATGGTAAGGGGATACAGGCTCTATGTGTGTGTGTGTGTGTGTGTGTGGATCCGGTGTGGGTAATGTGCCGAGGTAAACGCCAGCTACGAGATGGATGATATCTAGACGAATGATGCATGAGTCGCACAGGGGGCGGCTGAGGCGCCATTGCCAGTTGCTCGTGTTGTCATGTGTTGCCATGTGGCATGTGGCACGGTGGCACACTGGCGTGCTGGCATGGCGGCATGGTGGCATGCTGGCATGTGGGTGGCTACGTAAATTCCGACGCTTCATTCGCCGGATAGACTCGGCGCAAGGAGGAAGACATGGCTGCCATTGCCATCCGATGGGCCAGGCCAGAGGACGCAGGCGTGTAAGCAGCAGCAGCAGCATCAGCAGCAGCGAATGAGCATGCGAAATGTACACACACACATACAGTCACACACACACACACAGAGAGAGAGCGAGCAGCATATCCAACTCGAATCTTGTCTACAATAAATCAAATTTTATTACACTTTTCTTTATGCATGCCACAGGATATGGCAAGCGTATGGCGCACTGATGAGCACACACCCACACACACACAGCAGCCCGAATGTCCTGACACACACACTGAGATTTTCACATGCTCATTTAGTGCTGCAAGAAAGGGTGAGCGAGGCTGAGTGAGTAAAACTTTTCCTCACATACAAACAGGAATAGGACAATCCGATCCATTGGCAAGCGCTTGATTGTGAGAGTTTCCAGAGCTCATGTTCTTAATACATATGGGGTTACTCTAGCTTATTATACTTGTATATATATATACTAATTAGTAGTTATGGATTGGATGTTTGATATGAACTGCGATTGCATTGTTTTCAGCTTAGAATTCGACAGAAATTTTAGGCAAATATTTTATATGATAATATATATATTCATAATAATATATTATAATTCCTAATTTCATAAATAGCAAATAAATAGATATAATAATCGACAACGTTTATGCCAGAGCTTAAGGACGAAAGCAAATTAATTAACAATTTTCACTAATAATTTTTAATAATTAATTTATTAAAATACAATTTTAAGACAAAACATTTTTTAAAAATTTTAAGACAAATAAATTGTATTTCGAGAAATTTATTTTGTTCTTAAATAAAAATAATTAACTGCATTTATTAAATTCAATTTAAATTAGAAATTCAATAAATTTATTTTTTTTTTTAAATTTAAATTTTTTAAACAAAATGAAAACATTTTTTTTTAGAAACAATACTATATCTGTTATTTTAAAAT